TTTCCCCCCATAGGTCCCCTTGGGCCCTTCTAAGTTTGGGGACGGGATATCACTCCCAAAATCAGTTTTTCATCCCCCTGAAAATTCTATCCCAAAAAGATCTGTATGTTTCTTCAGACTTAATACCCGTTTTTATGAAAAAAATTCAAGCTCTTGGGCATACAATCCACCCCCCCCCCCCTTCCCCATACTTTTATTTCTTGGAACAATTAAAACCCTGAATATGAATTCCCAGGATGTCCGACTTTTTGAAATTTAAAACCCCGTCTCAGTTAAGGCAAATACATCAATGTTACCTGCCTAGCAAATGATCTCAATCGCCATCTTATTCCTAGCACACGGCAATTAGCAAATAAACATTGAAAGACTTCCTTTCCTTTTCCTTCCTGCCTTTCTGTTTTTCTACTAACCTATTTTCTGTCCTTAACCCAAAATCACTGGCTTTTCAATATTTCCTCGTCTGCTTTTACTAGTTCCCCCAGAACTCGTAATTTTCACACTGGGACTTTACTGTTTTCCCGCCAAAACCCATACCCTAACTATTCCCAGTTTTAAAAATCCTAAAAGCTCCCTTACGCAGTTTCCAGGCTACCCCCCAGACCCAAAAAGTGAACCCCCTCCCTGGCATAATTCATTTCTCCATAGAAGAGGTCCCGTTGTCAACGAAAGTTACCCATTTTCCTTACAGTATTTCCAGCAATTGACACCAATTTCCCTGGAAACCCTTCATTTCCAACCCTCTCCTTTGGGAAAATACCCATAGCGGGTTCCCCCCCTTTTCTCCTAAATTTTTTCTATTGCTGACCTATACCGCTAACAGGTCTTCACTCCCACATTTCCAACACGTTGCTCACACTGAGACGATAATAGGATTTCTCCCCCTTACCTCTATGATGTCTCCAGAAGCTAACAATTTTCCCCCATCCCCGCCCCCAGGAAGCAAATCTGTGTCTCCCACTCCTGTCCTTCAAGCAGAAAGCCCCATCCCCTATACCCAACGGCTATCCCCAACAACAACAAATTTTCTTCCTTGTGCGTTTGTCGTGCGTTTCCCGTAGTTTACTCCATTGTCGGGGGACATTTAGAATGTATTAGATGTTTCCCCAACAGTTTCCACGGCAGTCTCTTTCTTTCATCATTTCACCCCTTTCCATTGCTTCTTGATCGTCAACTTCGTTCCCTCTGTCCAGCCACTGACCCTTTTCCTGAGGATAAAACAGGGGGACTACTACGAAATTTTTTGTTTTCCCCGGTCAGTCGCCGAAATTCCCTCTTCGCCCCCTCAATTTTTCCTTAAGCTGATGTAAAGCTGCTCGATAGGGCATCTTTCTTAATTTGAGAGGGCGCAAACAGGTCTTACAGAGCTAAATACACTCACCACTGTGCAAAAGCCCAAATCAATCAGGGAGCGCTCGCAGACCCCGCACGGCCAATTGGGGATGCGAACACAGTTGTGTTATCCTGGCTGATAACAGACACAGTTATCTTGTGTTATCCTGGCTGATAATAGACACAGTTGTGTTATCCTGGATAACAGACACAGTTATCTTGTGTTATCCTGGCTGAAACAGACACGGTTATCTTGTGTTATCCTGGCTGATAATAGACAGCTATCTTGTGTTATCCTAGCTGATAATAGACACAGTTATCTTGTGTTATCCTGGCTGATAATAGGCACAGTTGTGTTATCCTGGCTGATAATAGACAGTTATCTTGGGTTATCCTGGCTAATAATAGACACAGTTTTGTTATCCTGGATGATAATAGACACAGTTATCTTGTGTTATCCTGGATGATAATAGATGCAGTTATCTTGTGTTATCCTGGATGATAATAGACACAGTTATCTTGTGTTATTCTGGCTGATAACAGACACAGTTATCTTGTGTTATCCTGGCTGATAATAGACACAATTGTGTTATTCTGGCTGATAACAGACACAGTTATCTTGTGTTATCCTGGATGATAATAGACACAGTTATCTTGTGTTATCCTGGCTGATAATAGACACAGTTGTGTTATCCTGGCTGATAATAGACAGTTATCTTGGGTTATCCTGGCTAATAATAGACACAGTTTTGTTATCCTGGATGATAATAGATGCAGTTATCTTGTGTTATCCTGGATGATAATAGACACAGTTATCTTGTGTTATTCTGGCTGATAACAGACACAGTTATCTTGTGTTATCCTGGCTGATAATAGACACAATTGTGTTATTCTGGCTGATAACAGACACAGTTATCTTGTGTTATCCTGGATGATAATAGACACAGTTGTGTTATCCTGGCTGATAACAGACACAGATATCTTGTGTTATCCTGGCTGATAATACACAGTTGTGTTATCCTGGCTGATAATAGATACAGTTATCTTGTGTTATCCTGGATGATAATCGAGTTGTTATCCTGGATGATAATAGACACAGTTGTGTTATCCTGGATGATAAGACACAACTGTATTATCCTGGCTGATAACAGACACAGTTATCTTGTGTTATCCTGGCTGATAATAGACACAGTTATCTTGTGTTATCCTGGCTGATAATAGACACAGTTATCTTGTGTTATCCTGGCTGATAATAGACACAGTTGTGTTATCCTGGATGATAATAGACACAGTTGTGTTATCCTGGATGATAATAGACACAGCTGTATTATCCTGGCTGATAACAGACACAGTTATCTTGTGTTATCCTGGCTGATAATAGACACAGGTGTGTTATCCTGGCTGATAATACACAGTTGTGTTATCCTGGTTGATAATAGATAGTTATCTTGTGTTATCCTGGATGATAATAGACAGTTGTGTTATCCTGGATGATAATAGGAGTGAACGATGGTGAAAGTTTTTCTTTTTCGGGCCACCCTGCCTTGGTGGGAATCGGCCAGTGTGATAATAAAAAAAAATAAGATTAGGCGATGAAAGATTGGATATCAAATTGGAGGGAGAGAGTATGGAGGAGGTGAATGTATTCAGATATTTGGGAGTAGACGTGTCAGCAGATGGGTCTATGAAAGATGAGGTGAATCATAGAACTGATGAGGGGAAAAGGATGAGCGGTGCACTTAGGAGTCTGTGGAGACAAAGAACTTTGTCCTTGGAGGCAAAGAGGGGAATGTATGAGAGTATAGTTTTCATAATGGTCTTATATGGGTGTGAAGCATGGGTGATGAATGTTGCAGCGAGGAGAAGGCTGGAGGCAGTGATGTCATGTCTGAGGGCAATGTGTGGTGTGAATATAATGCAGAGAATTCGTAGTTTGGAAGTTAGGAGGAGGAAGGGTTGTTGAGGTGGTTCGGACATGTAGAGATAATGGAGCGAAACAGAGTGACTTCAAGAGTGTATCAGTCTGTAGTAGGAAGGAAGGCGGGGTAGGGGTTGGCCTAGGAAAGGTTGGAGGGAGTAAAGGAGGTTTTGTGTGCGAGGGGCTTGGACTTCCAACGGGCATGCGTGAGCGTGTTTGATAGGAGTGAATGGAGACAAATGGTTTTTAATACTTGACGTGATGTTGGAGTGTGAGCAAAGTAACATTTATGAAGGGATTCAGGGAAACCAGCAGGCCGGACTTGAGTCCTGGAGATGGGAAGTACAGTGCCTGCACTCTGAAGGAGGGGTGTTAACCCTTTGACTGTTTTTGACGTATAAATACGTCTCACGAGCCAATGTTTCTGATGTATATATACTCAATAATTCTAGCGGCTTCAAATCAAGCGGGAGAAAGCTGGTAGGCCCACATGTGAGAGAATGGGTCTGTGTGGTCAGTGTGCACCACATAAAAAAAATCCTGCAGCACACATTGCGTAATGAGAAAAAAAAAATTCTGATCGTTTTTTTGGAATAAAACGCCGACTTTGAGGTGTATTTTCGTATAGTATTTATCATTGTATTCGTGTTTTCATGGTCTTAGGTGATAAAATGGAAAACATATTACAGAAATAGAGATGATTTTCATTACTTCGACGATGAAAACGACCTTGAAACTGAGCTCAAATTAGCAGAAATGTTCGATTTTTACCAATGTTCAGGAGTAAACAAATCACACCACACGTTCAATACACGTCAACTGGGGAGTCTATTATTCTTTCACTAGTGCACTGATATTATTTATACCATTTTTACAATAATGCAGTAGTCTGCATAACAGTAAATTTTGAATTTTTTTGTATGAATTAAAAATCAAAATAGAAAGCAATAATAATATAAGAGGGGCCTAGAGATGTGACTAATGAACAGAGGATATGCTATTTTAGTGCTAAGAATGTCTACCTTGTTTATTCTGGACCCTATTTTGAAATTGGCATCTTTTTTAATTTGAGTGAAATTGGCCAAATTGCCAATTTCTGACCACTATATTGGGTAGTTCAAATTGGTAAATGGCATTTACTTGTACTCACTGATAGATATAAGGAGTTCTAAAGAAATAGTCTAAGAAGTTATGGTCATCTGGAACCAACTGAAATTGGCTTTTTAATTGGGCTCAAAGTCGGCCAAATCGCTGATACACATATTCGGATTCAAATTCTCGGGAGCGTTTCTGTCTTCGACCAAGATTTGGATCTAATATAGCTTGATTTGTCATCGGAAAAGATTGCTGAACAGTTCATAAGTAAACAAAATATTCGGATTTTTCCCGATATTTGGCGACGTAAATTCAGTTTTCAGACCAAAATTCAAGGTTATGTTCATTTTCCAAAAAGATTTAAACACTTCTAAGCAAAAGTGATGATGAATTGGGATGGTGACAGTTTTCTAGATGGGGCCACCTGAACAGTGGGAATTGGCCAGTGTGTTAATAATAAAAAAAATATAGTAAATATTATACATATATATTTTTATATGCCTGGTGAATCGCATGTATATTATATATATAATATATATATATATATATATATATATATATATATATATATATATAAAATCATGAATTTTATTTAATATTGAAAATATTAAATGTGAATGAGTAATAATAAATAGTAAAAATATAGATAAACACTTACTGATGTAGTCTGTAATTCTGCAAGTAGATTAACAGTAGAATTCAACTGGTAAGAGTGTGACTCTACCAAACATTCAGTGTCACTCACCAAGTGATCTGTGTCTTAGAGCTGATCTGAGGAAAAAAATCACATACTATTTGTATATCCTTAAATGATACCAAAACACCACGCTTAATATATACAAGCAATATGAGTTTATACCACTACACATTTAACACAAACTGGAATGATAAAGTTAACTTATTATCTGTGCATTTCTTTGCAACACCATTGTACGGTTTGTTTGTGATCATGTCATTACAATTTCGTTAGCCAACACCATTTATGTCATAATGTAAATTAGGAATGATAAAAAAAAAGAGCCTGTATGAAGGAATGGCCTACACCAATGAACAGCTTGTACAAAATACAGCCTCTCCTCACTTAACAACAGAGTTCCGCTCCTAAGACCATGTCGTTAAACAAATTCATCGCTAAGTGAGGAGCATATTATAATACAGTGGACCCCCGCATAACGATCACCTCCGAATGCGACCAATTATGTAAGTGTATTTATGTAAGTGCGTTTGTGCGTGTATGTTTGGGGGTCTGAAATGGACTAATCTACTTCACAATATTCCTTATGGGAACAAATTCGGTCAGTACTGGCACCTGAACATACTTCTGGAGTGAAAAAATATCGTTAACCGGAGGTCCACTGTAGTAGTGAGTTTGTGTCAACCACCGTTGATATTGTTTTAATGTCACCTTTGCACCATTTATAACATTTCTGGTATATTTTTAAATGTTTATACAGTAGTGTACTGTATACTGAAATAAACAGAAGAGAGGAAATCAGCACTTAACATACATTATTTAGGAATGAATACTAGTCAGAGAGCCCATCATAAGTCCATGACGTCAGTAAACGAGTACGTCACTAAGTGAGGAGAGGCTGTAAATCCTGAACTAAAAATGACACGCATTAAAAACATGCATAAAAATGGCCCAGGTCATTCCATGTCAAGTGGTCTGATTTTAGAAAAGTGCCCCACCTCACCATCATGGATTTTGATGAAAATTGGTGTGCTGAATCTTACATGTCTCAAATTAAGTTTGGTAAAGTTTCAGATCTGTCAATGTTTCTGAGACAAAACCTTATATTTGACACCATTGCTGCAACCATGTACCCTATGAAATTTCAGCAATTTTGAACCAAAATAATTTCTCACTCTTTCTACCAAAATTTGGAATTCATTACCAGTAAATACTAAAGTAACCAGGTCTGAACACCAATTTCAGGCTCTTCTCAAAAAAAAAACCTACTCTCCCTAAACTAAATACAGTGGTCCCTCAATAATCGTCGGAAATAGTCCTGTTATTTCGTCTAAACATTGGCTTGCAAATGGTCCGATAACTCGCTAATAGTCCTTTGTCCGGGACGTGTACTCACGTTCTGAGCTGCCTCGGCCTCTCTTCCCAGCCAGTGTGCCACTGTTTACCAGTGAGCGACGGTCCCCTCACTTGCTCCAACGAAATATTTCATAATATTCCACTGATTTTAGTGCTTGAAAGTGCTAAATAAGCTACCATGTCTCCAAAGAAAGCTCCTAGTGCCAAGCCTTTGGTAAAGAAGGTGAGAAATATGATTGACTTTAAGAAAAACATCATTGAACAATATGATAGTGGCATACGTGTGGGCAAACTGGCCAGGATGTATAACAAATCCCGTACAACCATATCTTCAATCATAGCCAAGAAAAAGGAAATCAAGGACGCTGCTGTTGCAAAGGGGGTAAATATGCTGACAAAAATGAGATCACCAGTACTCGAAGATGCTGAGAAGTTATTATTGGTGTGGATAAACGAGAAACAATTAGCAGGAGATAGTCTTATGACGTCGCTTATTTGTGAAAAGGCTAGGCAGTTGCATGACGATTTGGTAAAGAAATTGCCTGCAACTCGTGGTGATGTGAGTGAATTTAAGGCCAGCAAAGGCTGGTTTGAGAGATTTAAGAAGCGTACTGGCATACACAGTGTGGTAAGGCATGGTGAGGCTGCCAGTTCTGACAACAAAGCGGCTGAAAAATATGTGCATGAATTCAAGGAGTACATAAACAGTGAAGGACTGAAACCTGAACAAGTGTTCAATTGTGATGAAACAGGCCTCTTTTGGAAGAAAATGCCGAAGAGGACCTACATTACTCAGGAAGAAAAGGCACTGCCAGGACACAAGCCTATAAAAAACAGGCTGACGCTTATGTTCTGTGCTAATGCTAGTGGGGATTTCAAAGTGAAGCCGTTACTAGTGTACCATTCTGAAAATCCCAGAGTGTTCAAGAAAAACAATGTTATGAAAAGTAAATTGTGTGTGTTTTGGAGATCTAATAGTAAGGCATGGGTCACAAGGGACATTTTCGTCGAGTGGTTCAATGAAGTGTTTGGCCCTAGTGTGAAGAATTACCTCCTGGAAAAGAAATTGGATCTCAAGTGCCTCCTAGTAATGGACAATGCACCTGCTCATCCTCCAAACTTGGATGACCTAATTCTGAAGGAGTTTGGGTTCATCACAGTAAAGTTCTTGCCCCCGAATACCACTCCTCTCCTCCAGCCCATGGACCAGCAAGTCATTTCAAACTTTAAATAACTCTACACCAAAGCAATGTTTGAAAGGTGCTTGAATGTGACCTCAGACACTCACTTGACCCTACGAGATTTTTGGAAAGAACACTTCAGTATTCTCCATTGCGTAAGCCTTATAGGTAAGGCTTGGGAGGGAGTGACTACCAGGACTTTGAACTTTGCTTGGAGAAAATTGTGGCCAGATTGTGTCCACAAGAGGGATTTTGAAAGGTTTGAGGCAGCCCATGATGAGCCTATGTCAGTTAAGTCTATTGTCACACTGGGGAGTTCCATGGGGTTGGATGTGAGTTTGGAGGATGTGGAAGAGTTGGTGGAGGACCACAATGAAGAGCTAACCACTGAGGAGCTGCAAGAGCTTCAACAGGAAGAACAACAGATCACAGCTCAGAATCTTGCTGCAGAGGAGGAGGAAGAGAGATGGAAGAAGGTGCCTTCTTCAGAAATTAAGGAGATTTTTAAAATGTGGGGTAGGATGGAAAGATTTATGGAGAAACATCACCCAGAGAAGGATGTTGCAAGCCATATCGGCAACTTGTACAGTGACGGAGTCTTGGCCCATTTTAGGGAAGTTTTAAAGGGACGCCAGCAACAGAGCGAAGCAGAGAAGAGAAGTAACCCCAGAAAAGCAATTGGTACCCGAGGTGTTGATGGAAGGGGATTCCCCTTTCAAACAGTAAATAATCCAATCTCTCTCCTTCTCCAGTCTTCCATACACAAAGAAAAATCGCCAATAAAGGTGTTATTCTGTTAATGTTTAATTCATCATGTGCCACTGTATTGTTTATGTACTACATCTATATTTCATGTAAAAAAAATTTTTGTTTAGACCCCTTGACTGTCGCAAGCCCCAATCCTGAAGTGTCTCCTGGTGTCGCAAAATTTCAAAAAAAAAAAAAAAAAAAAAAAAAAATTCTTATGAAATGATAGAGAATCTTTTCCCGGTTGTAATGACACCAAAAACACGAAATTTGATGGAAAACTGACGGAATTACGCTCTTGCAAAGTTAGCGACCTCGGCGATATTTACAAATCGGCGATATCGCCCACTTTGAGCCCTATTTTCGACTAATTCCATTGTTCCAGTCGACCAAACTCATAGCTATTTCTTTAGAACTCCATTTTTTCTATCAATTGAATACAAGAAACTGCCCATTTACTGATTTCAACTACCCAATAACATGGTCAGAAATTTGCAATTTGGCCAGTTTCATAAAAATTAAAAAATATGACAATTTCAAAATAAGGTCCAGAATGAACAATGCAGACATTCCTGGCTCTAAAATAACATTTTCTTTGTTCATCAGTCACGTCTCCAAGCCCCTTTGATATTACTCTTGCTTTCTATTTTGAATTTTTATTCAAACAAAAAATAGAAGATTTACTGTTATGCAGACTACTGCAATACTGTAATAATTGTATAAATAACATCAACCCATTCATGACTGCATATTAGAATGACTAGTTGGACATTTATTGGACAATGACATCATTTATTTACTTTGAACATCGGCAAAAATCAAACATTTCCCCTAATTTGAGCTCCATTTCCAGGTTCTTTTTATAGCAAAATCAATCAAAATCACCTCTATTTCTATAATATGTTCTCCATTCTATCAAATGAGGCCAAGAAAATGAGAATACAACCATAAATATTATACGAAAATAGACCACAAAGTCGGCATTTTAATTAAAAAAACGGTAGTAGTTTTTTTTTCTCATTATGCACTGCATGCTCCAGGATTTTTTTTATATGGTGCACACTGGCCACACAGACCCATTCTCTCACATGTGAGCCTACCAGCTTTCTCCTGCCTGATTTGAAGCCGCTAGAATTTATGAGTATATATACGTCAAACACGGTACCTCTTAAGACGTATATATACGACCGCTACAGTCAAAGGTTTAATACTTCTGGGTGTCAGGAACGGATTAATTGCATTTACATTATTTCTTATGGGGAAAATTGATTCGAAAGTCGTCCATTTCGATAATAGTCCCACTTCCAGGAACGGATTAAGGACGATAATTGAGGGACCACTGTACTCAATACTTAACAATATTTAACTCTATCAAAAAATTATCCAAATCTTAACCCTTTCAGGGTTTCCAACGTACTAGTATGGCTTACGCGCCAGGGTTTTTGACGTACTAGTACACATAAATTCTAGCGCCCTCAACTCTAGCAAGAGAAAGCTGGTAGTCCTACATATGAAAGAATGGGTCTATGTGGTCAGTGTGCGCAGTATAAAAAAAATCCTGCAGCACACAGTGCGTAATGAGAAAAAAAAAATTTGACCGTGGTTTTGGCTTACAACAGCGACTTTGCACTGTATTTTCGTATGGTATTTATGGTTGTATTCTAGTTTTCCTGGTCTTATTTTATAGAATGGAAGACATTACAGAAATTGAGATGATTTTGATTGATTTCACAATGAAAAGTACCTTGAAATTGAGCTCAAAGTAGCAGAAATGTTCGATTTTTGCCAAAGTTCA